ACCCCAAAACCCCAAAACCCCAAAACCCCAAACTATAAAAGGCAGATTGTAAGGAGTATTAATAAAAATTACATGGAAAGTCCATTTAAAGTTATTGCACAGGAGAACGTCAAAAGGTTAGAGTAAGGCAGGAGGTTACAACTGACTTCAATGATCCAGCTCATTCTTTAGCTTGGATTAGAAATTTATAAAAGGATTATGACCTTGTTCAGTTAAGTTATAATTAACAGTTTGACATGATCCCAAAGAACTTTTAGCCGCTAAATTTGTAGCACATTTATCTTTGCTTAAGATCTTACTCAGTTTGGCATTGCTTTCATGATCTTAATATTACTTTGAATCAATTTAAATAAATCTGAAGGCTCGATGAGCGCTAATACTTTTAAGCTGATCGAATTCGAACTCATTGTTGCAGCTATGTTTCAGATATTTTTACCATAAAGGTTTGTAATATCTTTCTTCTCATAACATTTAATGACTTGGATAAAATTTAATCTTCTAGATTTACCTGATAACTTCTCTTGTATCTACTCAAGTCTTTGACTGGCTATTTGCTTTACTTCGGATAAATTCTGGAATAGCCATGGCCCCTTAACTTAAAAACATATGGTCTTATGTGATATAGCTTGGAGAAATCAATAATGGAGCAGGACAAGGAGACCTGAAAGTTACTCTGAAAGTCTCTTTATTATAATTATTTCATTGCAGCAAATGTGAAAAGTAGCTATTACAATTACAAAGAAGAGGATCCGATCCAGAATTATGATTTTGAGTATCCACAAACAAGAGAGATCAAGTTTATTCAGAAAATGAGCTTCTTAAAAGATTATTACACTCAAGTTAATGAATTCTATTTGACTTTTATTAACCGCAAGAAAAAGCATATTATCAATTCCTTCACTAGTTCGTTTCCTAAGTCAGTTGCTCATGTTAGAATTGACTCTAAAGACAGGCTCCTTTTAAATATTTCCCTTCATTTCAAGGGAATAATAAGAATCAGTTCAAGAGTGTTAAACGAAATTGATATATCTTCTTTTAGAATCAGTCAACCTCAGTTAAAGAGATTTATAGTATTTTACAAACATGTTCAAGCAATAAGATTTTATAGTTGCAAGCTTTCAGTGTCTGTTGTCATGGACTTTACAGATTTGCTGAAAAATACAAATATCCAGATTCTAAGTTTCTGCTATTCAGCAATACCCAAACATGACCACTGGGAGACAGATCTTAATGAGTTTATTAATTTAATAAAAAGTTTGGCTACTTCTAAAGATTTAAAGAAGATGCTAAAGTACTTAAGTCTTACTAAAAGCATGGCTGAGCCAAGCGAGGCAAGAAAAATTCTTGATCAAAATGGATTTGATAAAGTCGAAGCTACATATCCATATAATAAAGTTCCAAAATAATTCTGATTCGTAATTTTTACAAAATTAGCGAAATCCAAGACAGCCTATTTTACCTTCTCTGAAGCATACCATGAATGTATTATTTCAACCTTAAAGCTTGAAACAGGGGTTTTGGGGTTTTGGGGTTTTGGGG